GTGTTCACGATAGGCTGTGAATGGATTAATAGCATCTTGTATACATATCGTTTATCAAGTATTATACCAATATACTATAATTTTTTGTTCATCTGAAGAGGAATCAGAACCATCAAATAAATTAATGTCAAACTGGCCTAATTATTTAATTCCATAATGTGCCTAATATATTTAATTCCATAATGCGCTTATCTAAAATGTATAATAAATAATTATATCTTAATGGTATAAAAATAGATTTAAAAGTTATATTGTATAATTATATTGTATATATTTATAATATATTATATATAATTAACTTGAAACTACTTATGATCAAGTGTAAAAATATAAATCAAATGCCTTATAGTCACAGAGTTTCAATATAAGAAATGTGTTCGGACAAAGTATTGAACTATACTAAATTTCTTATTGTTTGAATGTGAGGTATTTTTAGGTTAGTTCATCCAATGATAGATATTATGGTAGAATTACTACAAATATTTGTAGTAATTCTATCATAACTATATGCTTTTCCGTTTCCTTTTCTCTAAAAATATGAAAAAATAAATAGAAGAAATTATTAATACACGCACAAATAAAAACTAAATACTATACTTTTTATTTCAAGACCGTCTTAAGTCCATGATTTACTGGACTCGGCCAAGACTGGCTCAAGATCGGTCTTAAGCAATGATTATGCATCTAATAATCTTGAATTATACTTAAGATTTCACTATGGAATGATATTTTCTTAGTTAAGCATGTTCCCAAGTTTTAGCTTCAGATTCGGTCTTAAGCAACATCTATGAATCAATTGTAGTCTTAAGCACTAGCTTAAGACCAGCTTGAATCTTAAGCAACGTCTATGGATTCCGCCCTAAAACTTGGGACCACGCTTAACTAAGAAAATCTCATTCCATAGTGAAATCTTAAGTGCGACTCAAGATTATTAGATGCATAGTCATTGCTTAAGCCCGATCTTGAGCTAGTCTTTGTCGAGTCCAGTAAATCATGGACTTAAGACGGTCTTGAAATAAAAAGTATAGTATTTAGTTTTTATTTGTGTGTGTATTAATATTCTTCTATTTATTTTTTCATATTTTTAGAGAAAAGGAAACGGAAAAGCATATAGTTATGGTAGAATTACTACAAATATTTGTATATCTGTCATTGGGTGAACTAACCTAAAAATACCTCACATTCAAACAATAAGAAATTTTTAGTATAGTTCAATACTTTGTCCGAACATATTTCTTATTGAGACTCTGTGACTAGGCATTTATATATTTTTACACTTGATCATAAGTAGTTTCAAGTTAATTATATATAATGTGTATTATAAACATATACAATATACTTATATAATATAACTTTTAAATCTATAATATTTACAATTAAGATATTAATTATTTATTATACATTTTAGATAAGCGCACATTATAGAACAATATCTAAAATGTTTGGATCAACTTCGTCTACATTTTTTTCTGATCCTCCTCCAGTGAGAAATCTTGATTGCCTTTCAGTTGTTAATATATTCTTAGTTTGCTGTTTTAAATTAGACCAATATTTTTTTAACTGCTGTACATCCCTCTGTACTATAAAAACATTGCTTATTAAAAATATATATATGTATAATCATATATAGTGTAAAAATAGGAAAATAAATTTAATACCTTAGTACAAATTAAAGAAAAATCATTGTATGTCTTCGTAATAGTGAACCAAGCCTCTGCTTTTTCTTTCAATGTAGAGGAATTTGTACCTTTTGATTCAATCACATGTTTATAGTCTTTTAGAATATCAAAGAATACTTGCTTTTCCAAATCCGATATAATTCCGCGCGTTACGTATTATACTTGTAAATAAATTGTCATTGGACAGATTCTAGAGAATCCCGAATGTTTTCGATGTTGGAGAACTCGAGTTTAAACTTAAGACTGCCTTAACAAAGCCTGACGAAGCCGAGTACTTAAGCTTTGTTAAGGCAGTCTCAAGCTCAAGCGGGGAGCACAGACTTTTGCATAACGCATAAAGCATGTGCATAAGGAATTTCATTGGCCCATTTTCTTATGCATGAGTCAATGGACCAATCAAATTCTTTATGTATATGGTTTATGCGTTATGCAAAAGTCTGTGCTCCCCGCTTCAAACTCGAGTTTTCAAGATACATTTATGCATATAAGGCGTTCTAAGCTAGTTTTGGACCCTAAAGATTGATTTATACTGGCCGTAAACTGTTAACTTATGCCGTAATCTGTAAAAATTGACCAATCACAGTCGAATGAGAGGGGAGTAATCGATTATAATTGGTCAATTTTTACAGATTACAGCATAAGTTAACAGATTACGGCCAGTATAATCCAACCCTAAGTCGATCTTGACGAAGACTATGGCCGGTATTCATAGTCGGTTCTTATTTCAAAAATGTCTTAAGTAATGTCTTAAGATGCTAAAGCGGCCCTCTGATTGGTTCGTAACTCTCAAGACTGAACTTAAGACGGTCTAAGAACTGACTATGAATACCGGCCTATCTCAAGACAGATCTTAAGCAACGTCTATGGATTCCGCCCTTTCTTTCGATCCCCTCTCTCAGAATATATGGCTATACGCATGCGCGAAACGAGAGAGAACGAAAAGGCCCAAATTAGAGACCCTCTAATCAGAGCCGCGAAATAACGGTTCCAATTTTGATTGGCGCTGACATTTTTCAGCAAAAACCGGAAATAGTCATGGCGTCAAATTTAAGTCGACCTACATTCCCTGCCTATTTTGCTCTTTTTCAGGATTACGAGGAAAGACTTTCATAATATAACCCTTTTTTAAAGAATTATTGCAGTCTGGCGCAGAACAACTAGTCATTCTAAAAAATATAATTTTATGAAATACAGTATTAATATAAAAAATATAATAATGTAATTTCTTTCTGATAACTGTATTTAGATTCACATGTATTAGGTGTTAATGTATCACAATCATAGTATTTTTATTGCAACTGCGATGGTGCTCGTACGTGCAGTAGTATTATATTTTTCTTCATGCGTGCACGTAATGTGCCCTACACAAAGAAAAATTCTATGTGTAACAGTGGGGGCATATTTGTTTATAGGTCGACACGGGCGCGCGTACGCACTCGCTTCGCTCGTGCCGTCGCGCCCGTCCCCACAATAAACAACTTTCCCCCACTGTTACACAATGTACTATAATCGCTACTTCCGGTTTTTGCTGAAAAATGGTATCGCCGACCTAACCTTATTGACGTTATTTCGCGACTCTGATTAGAGGGTTTCTAGCCCAAATGAGTGCGTCCTTTTCTAGATAGGATTACTCCCACTCCTACAATGCGTACTCTAGTACTACTATAGGGCTGAGCACAAGCACTGCCGTAACATTTTACGACATACTTAAAGGTTGATTTATACTGGCCGTAAACTGTTAACTTATGCCGTAATCTGTAAAAATTGACCAATCACAGTCGAATGAGAGGGGAATAATCGATTATAATTGGTCAATTTTTACAGATTACAGCATAAGTTAACGGATTACGGCCAGTATAATCTAACCTTAAGTTGTAGACGTAAATAACGCACAAGCTTTGGCGTATCGGCGTATGACGTGTTTATGTACATTATTGCTATATCTTTCAATAGCGTGCATAAACACGTCATGCGCCGATACGCCAAAGCTTGTGCGTTATTTACGTCTATAACTTAAGTATGTCGTAAAATGTTACGGCAGTGCTTGTGCTCAGACCCTATCTCTATGTGAACAGTATACCTGGGCAGCGATCACGTAATTTTTCCCTAGGGTGGAAATGTGAAAAGTGAAAAATTTCACGTGAATTCGAGAATTTTTGCGATCATGGAACTTTTTGAACTGTGGAAATGTGAAACTTTCCACGTGAACTTTTTCGCCTTGAAAGTTGATGGCGAAAAGGCGGAAATGTAGTGAACATCTAAATGTTCCCTAGTAGTTGGTATATGTTGGTATATTGTCAGTACTTGCGAAAAATGTGATAATTCTAGGTTATACGTTACATTGACAAACGGTATGTAACTAGGTTATGTACTTTATGAAACATTGTTTTAATAACTATTTTAGATTAACTATTTTATAAATAACTATTTTAGATTAACATGGCTGCAGCATGGTGGGTGCTCCAACTTGAACACAATGAAAAACATACACTTAAAATACGGAGAAGAGAACTACGAGATTTAAGTAATCCTTTTGAGATCCCGGAATCTCAATTTATGGCTTTATATCGGTAAGTATAAACAATCTAGAAGATATTATCTTATAATTACATTTTATGCTACGAAATAATGAAACATTATTATTAACAATTGATATTAATGATTTTATAAAACATTTTACGCAGACTTACAAAAGATGCTACTTTTATGTTATGTGAAAATATACAACCACATGTGCAAAGATCATACAGGTTAACAGCAATACCATTAG